ATGTCCCCTATCCGGACGAGCGAAGACCATCGTGGACTTCCAAGTTAAAAGCGTGTGGCGTTTCGACCCTTGTCTCGATCAAGGCACCACCTGCAGCCCTACCCAGCGACCAGCTAAAAATAGCTCGGGGCGCGTTAATGTAATTACTCGACCGTCCCATCAAATTCAACGCCAATCAATCGTTCGAATCTTCGGCCACAATTTCTCACGTCGGCTCGATCGATCGTGGTTAAAATCGACGATTAAACGTTCCATGAAATTACCAAGAAAGTCCTTGATTAAGCGAACGTTCCCGTCGACTATGGCGGAAGACGCGTTAGTCGCGTCGAATCGTTATCATTCGCGCTTTATCGGAACTTTGAAACGTTTTACGATCGGCAGATTACTGGCATCAACGAGAGGAATGTTTGATACGAATGATATTTGAGAGGAGGAAACGAAATTAGAGGGCGAGCAGTAAAGAGCGGCCATCTTGGGAGGAATCACGTGGAACGAGTCGGTAAGAATTTCATCCAGGGGTAAGATAATTAGTCCAAGGTATAACGCGTGCGCGTAAACACCGGAAGTCGGCATTAAGTAATTATTATACACGGAATGATTGGAATAAACGGCGACAGAAAGCCGCGGAATCCTTCTCCGGACGAGAAAATGCGATCTCTCCGCTATTACAGAGTCGTGAAAAAGGAGTTCGCCTGGAACTCGGCTATATGCGATATCCACGGACGACGCGCTACAGTTTCTTCCATGCTACGGGGCGGCGATGGCATTCCCCATTTCGCGAGCAAATGTTTCCGAGTCGATACTCCAAGGAAAAGTTTCTACCTCTACGACGGGAGTGGCGCGTCTTATCGACAGATTTTTCTTCGTTTCCTCTCCTTTATTTTCGCCTCGAAGAATCTCGAGTGGAAAGCTTTCCGTTTTCACTCGGAGATTTCTATGATATTCTCGACATTCAGAAGTTATTCAAAACGAAGGACGAGTGAATTCAATCTGATTTAGTTGACGGATAAGTAAATCGAATTCGTTATTCTTGCTTAGTTTGAGTAACTTTAGCTGAAGATAGTAACTCGAGAAACGTGAATGTCACTGCTTTGTTATCAATCGAACAACTTGAACACGGAACAACTATTAACCAGTTAACTGTGTTTGACGAGTATACACGTCATCTTAAGACTCTTAATGGTGCTAACCTTTACAACGATGGATTATTTTTTGCGACAAACGTGTAATTCTTCTTCGTTTCGCTTTAGTTTTCATTATTTGATTTGATTGAGCGCACAATGAGAGATTTTTTAAACTAAATTCCACACTTAACTGGTTAACACGTTGTCATGAAAATATTGTGTTCCTGTAGAATTATTCCTGTGTAGCAAGGAAAAGCAGGGACAGTTAATGATTCGGCGTTACAATCGTTGCATTACATTATTATTAACCTTGTAAATTAGGGATCTAAAAATAGATTACTAGGATACGTATCCGCGTAGTTCCATCGATCAAAACCGACATAAATATTCACCAAACTAATGTTTATGAAATCCAATACCCATCGAATATCGTCAAAATTCATTGGACTTGGATATTGATTGGAATTGCATGCATCTCGCATATCACGATTGTCTTCGAGTAATTCAGAAGCGTCGATCATTGGTGACTGCAATGACACTTAACGCGTTAATTATTTATTCGTTATCGTTACTCGAATAAAGTTTCAGTCGCGCACCGCTCGAGATTGCATCTTGATTTGCCCGGTGCCGGGGCGCAAGCTGCAGATAATCATCGCGCGGACTAACGAGATCGCGGAAGAGCCGTCTCGCGTCTCCGCAATCGTCTCGAGGATTAATTGCGCCATTACCCGGCACCCGGCCTGTGAATTTCTGTGAAATGTTTCGGCGAATCGAAACGGCCGCTCGAAAACAGACTGCGGGACACGTGACGCGTTAATTCCTCGCCGCGCCATTGTTTCGGCCGTTTTATCCCTTCCGTTTGATCCTTTCTGTTCCATTGTTCGCGATTATCGTGTACCGTTCTCCGGATGCTTCGCTCGAATTCGAGCGAATTCGTTCTTTCGGGAAAGTAGACACTTTTAACCCGTCGCACTCGAAAGTTTCTCAATGGAAACATTCAACGTTCTCCGACGAGATATAGGTCGTATCGTTTGAAACTAATTTAACGATTATTCGTGGATACATTAAGCAACGGAAGTGTTTTATTTAAATATCTCACGTAGCAGTGCAAACTTTAATTTGAAATATTAACCCTTTGCACTCGAGAGGCGACTCCTAGTCGCCATTCGATTGAACGCAGTAACATTATAAAATTTTAAATTCAATATTCAATTTTGGGTGAGGTATCAATACGTGAAACGTAAAAATAAAACAGTTCTGTCTCTTAATTTATGCAAGATTCTCGGTGTTTCTACAGAAAAATGCCGAAAAGTCAACTCGACTGTTCGGTGGTTCCAGCGTTAACCTTTCAACCGAGTGTTTCCCGAAAGACATTTCGAAAATCGCGACTAGAAGCGAATGAGATTAACATAACGGACGAACGTGCGATACGCGCGCGGTTTGCGTCACGCTCGTCTCCAGTTTCCACCGTCAGCTTTAATTCGAACGTCGAGTTAACGCCGCCTCGTTTCGATTTCAATGTTGTCGAGGTAGAAAAATAAGTTAGTCGCACCGAACGAAGGTCTAATAAATTATTAATCGCACCCATGATTTGAGACGAAGAAAGCGCGCACGTTGCAAATGAATTCCAGCTGAACATGGGACTCGAACGACGACGATTTGCATAGGAGTTATAACCCGGTGGCAATTTTATCGTTTGCTCGTGACTCAAGGCATTGCCATTTCAAAACCAACGCTGAACAGTCTAATGAAAGTTTGCGTTCAGGTGTAGATACACTTGCAAGAGGCTTGCGACATTTTCTTCTTATAGACTCGCGGGAATCTTTGCACTCCTATTTTCTTCTGTCACTGTCGCAAGTAAATTGACAGCTATTGCAAACAGAACTCGTATCCGTATTTCACCAAGAATTTACCTTATATTTGATGGCATTTGTTTTATAAGTTTTACACACCAAATTCACCCTTTTGCAAGTCAAGTACTAAATAAATTTTTTTTAAGAAACAAACATGCTAAACATTGTATGTAATCTGTCAATAGTATTTATTGTGCCTTGTGATAATTTTAGTTAATTCTACTTTGAAATAAATATGCGATACACCTCTTCGAAATAAAATTGTTACTTCCTCACTAAATGATTAACACTCGATATTTCTTTAAATAATAAATAATAAATTAGAAGATATATTATATAGATATATTATAATATAGTAATATATAATATATACATTTATATATATATATATTAGAAGATATATTACATAGATATATTATAATATAGTATATAGTATAACATAGTAATATATAATATATATAGAAGACATATTATACAGATAGATATATATATTAGAAGCAATTGATTCGCAAAGGGGTGAATTTCCAGCGCAAAACCAATACGAAAAGATTCAAATGAAAGGATCATTCAGAATCGTAACGATCGCGACGCTCGACTCGATTTTCTTGAAGAACGGACTTAAGTTACTTTCGAAGTAAACGGGTAACAGCACATAATGGCCCCGGCGACCAAAGCCAGCGACGTTTCACGCGAAGTTTACGAAATCGCGGCCAGACCCCGCGACGTCCGCGCTCGCGCGCCAGCCAACGATCGACGTCGCTTTTTTGGCTTCGTCGCGTTTCAGCATTTACGTCGCTCCGTTTCGACGTATCCGGTGTCTAATCTTGCGACATATTCTACTTTAGCCGTCCACGTAATCCAGAGCAATAGAGAGGAAACACGACACAAGTGCTTCACACAGGACGAGGGAATCGTTGCGCTCGCGCGGCGGCGGCGGCGGCGGCGGCGGCGCAGGACGTTTCATTGGCTAACAGGACATTCGCGCCGCGCTGTTTCATTGTTACACATTCTTTACATAACTGTTCAATGAGCTGTGCTTCTACTTTCCATTCAGAAGAACGCGCGGCGAAATACGATTAACCCAGCTCCGCGAGGGACTCATGGGAATCCGCCGCTGTATTCGGCGACCGAACGCACACCGCGAGTCAGCTTATTGCCAATTATGCGCTATAGAATTCAAGCAGAAAAATCTAGACGCGAGACCGTTAAACTGGATGAGAAACAATTACAGTTGAGCCCCGATTATCCGATTTAATTGGCCGACTAACAGTCTAGATAAAACGAGGCTTGAGAAGAAATAATTCGATGCTTGTTTCGGAGATTCTTCTGTAAGAGATAGAATCTAAGCACTGCTAGTTGTTGCGCAGAACTGAGACTCTGAACGGTTCGTATCTCGACGAATAGTGACGCGATCGACCCCTCGGCTACGGCGGAATTTTGTCAACTAAAATGTATTGACACCATGGGAACACTGTATTGAACTAAATTAAACCAATCTGAAATAGTCATGTTCATATAACGTACGACTAACGGAAGATGTAACTGAATTAGAAATAATATTGTCGCCAAAAATACGTCGAAACCAAATCGTTCAAGCGCCTTTAGGCGTCAACGGTTTTTATGACTATCGTCTAGAGATTTTAAAGAACTTAATTGGAAAACCCCGCGACAGAAAAAAATCCGCGTCTCGAATGGTTTAACCCTTTGCACTCGAAAGTCGCCTGATGATTTGATAGAGCAGCATTATAAACTTTGATATTTACTATTACCCTCTGTATGCTGCGTCGATACGTGAAATATTGAAAGAAAATAGCCTTAGTGCCATAATTCACATGTGATTTCTTAATAAATTCATTTCAAAGTATCTCGCCTACAGCTAATTGGAACATATTGAATATTTCAAGTGAGAATCTCTCGAGTGCAACGGGTGAACCGATTAGATTCCAGCGATCGGTGTTTTCGCGGACAGCCTTCGTTCGCCGGAGTTTCCCAGATAGACTCGGCTAATCCGTGTTCCACGTACCTTGACTTCGTGATACCGTTCTTCCAGGTAGTACGCGATACCCTTCGCTTCCTCGTACTTGGCGGCCAGGGCGACGTACTTGTCATAGTGGCGTTTGAACAGCACGAACCTGCGAACAGAAAATAGTCAGCGGAGTGTCAGCTAGCTGTCGGTATATCCCGGCTTTACGTAATTCCATCGCGTCGCCCCGGCGAAAGAGATACGCGTGTTTCCATCGGCAAATCCGATCGGCGGAACCTGTCCAAGCGTAAAGGACGCGGACCCGGAAACCGATCGTGGCCGAGCTTTTCCTTCTCCCGACTTTGACAAGCGGTGGACAACGATTTGTCCGCGGTTCAGTCTTCCGGGAAGAAGATACGGTACGAAGTTTGACCGTTTCGGTCATGGCGTCCTCATATAAGGAGATACTAAATGAATATATTCAGATTCGGTAAATTTGATTGTTCGTAAACGTCCTCGTATTATCACAGCCATAGATTCTATTCGATGGTGTAGACCTCTCTTATCAAATTGTGTTATCACGAAATAAAATTAAAGCCTTTTGGGAGCACATTCAAGTGGGCTCAGGAAAGAATAATTCATTAATAATATTAAAGGAACCTTTTCGATTCGAAAAAAGTAACAATGCAAATCTGTATAGATCTAACGAAACAGAGTAAGAATAAACTGCCAGAAGTGTACCAGTTTGTATTAAGAGGAACAAATTGAAACGTTTCCCAAATATAAGCGAATATATTTAATACGACGCGACAAGATGGCGGTCGACGCAACGCGCGGCGACCGCCGATGGCGGCCGAAAGAATATTGCCGTAATAAAAGCGAGCAAGGTGAGGCTGCCACTCTAAAACCGATTCCTTTATTCTTCCTGCGATCGTTACGCTGCGGATTTTTATGCAAATCCCTATTTTTATTGTTAGATCCCGCACGATAACTGTTACGAATAAATTAGCTTTTACTACCGGCGGTTCCGATGCAAGAAAGGCGATATGAAGACATTGTTAAACCTCGCCTTGGCTCGTTTATCGCGTTTCGCGCGGCAGAATGCGGCGTATTCGCATAAAATCCGCACTCCAGTAATCGCCATTGTAATTCCTCGTCCGGTAATTAATCTATCGGCGATCGTCCGATAACGGGGTTTAGAATTGCGCGCGATTCGAGCGAAGGATCCCGAGACGGAACACCTTGGGCGAAAACGTTTAACGCCTCGAGGAGTCCGAGGACCTCGGCCCGTGCAACGGCCTCGAAACGTTTTTGACAATAGAACGGTGCGACAGTCACGGACAGTCACTCGATACCGATAAGATTGAGCCTCGTCTACAAGGCTGAGAGTACACAACGACGAACGAGATAATGGCCCGTGTAACGGAGACAGTAAACACAACTGCAATCGTTTTGTTCCACCTGCGAGATTGTTCAAGATCGTTAAGCGCATACACAAATGATAACTAATTTTTCCTCTGACATTGTTTCCTCACTTTTCAGCCAATTGGCCGGAGAAAGGAGAGTTGATAATCTCTGCTAGATTACATTTCCCAACGATTTTTTTCTCTTTTGTAATCTACCGTTGATCAATCAAGCGAAAGTACTTTTCTGTGGGAAAACTCGGATAAAGCGGGCTCAGCGTTAACCCTTTGCGCTCGAGAGGCGACTGTTACTGTTTGGTTTAATGTAGCAATTATAAAATTCATGCAGTATTCGATATCATGTTTTACAGGATATAATTAGACTTAATGTATTAAAATAAAACAGGTCTAAAAGGTTCAAACTCGAAGCTCAAGAAACATCTAATCTTCGTGAACATGTAACCACCACTTTCAACTGCCATTCAACCAATCATCAACGATCAATCATAAAATTGATACAGTATTCAACACCATATTTCATAACATATAATCAGACAATATTAAAATAAACCAGTCCTACAAGCTTCGAACTCGAAGCTGAATAAACATCTAACTTCATGAACACGTAACCACCACTTTCAACTGGCATTCAACGAATCATCAACGATCTACAAAACGAGGAGCATCGATTGAAACGCGAGCCGAATTTAGTGGAAGACCGAACGATCTCTAAAACCGTTGTAATCCCGTGGTTCTCGGTGAAACCCGTTCCTCCTCTCTCATCTGCCTATCAACCAGCCAGCAGGGCTACGGTTCCGCAATCTCTCGTTAGAGATGCAGCCGTTTGGAAACCGGAAACACGGCCGGGTCCCACGGAATCGCGGTAAAGAACAGAGCAGAGGCGGTACCGGGGCGAGAAGTCGAAAGGAGTCGACCTTTCGGTCATGGTGGCCAGCTGCGGATCGTCCACTCCTTCCTCAAAACGATCTTTCCTCTCCTCGATCGATTTCTCCGCGTCCAGAGATGCTCCGTGCACTCCGCGAAGCTGGAAAGAAGCCCATACGATGTGCCTTTGATTACTTTGATTACCGTGCGCTCTGATTACTCTTGAGATCTGATCAGCATACGCAACCGTTTCGACAAATAGAGAGCCAAGAGTGCATGTTCAATCCGTTACATATTTCACTTAACCCCTTGCCCTACAACATTATCCTCCGAAGATCTTACAAGGAAATTAAACTTAACTGTTTGTCTACTCGACAATTGCAGCAAAGCTTTTCAAGTGAATCCTATCAATTACATCTCAGTATATTAAATGAATATTTCACATTGATTCAATATAGTTCAATCGTTTTCACGATTTCAGGCAAAAGGTTACCACTCCCCAGTTGAAATCAGACATCAGTTACGCTTCAACGCCATATAAACAGAAGCTTCTATATCTCGGCTATCGAATCGTTGATAACGATTCCAGCGCAGTTACGCAGAACATACAGTAGCTATCTCTAAACAGAATTTCCATCGTCCTCCTCGATAAACCACCTCCGGCACGCGTCTCTCAACGTCCAGTCTAGAGCCTCGTCCTTATACCCATCGATTCCTTCCATCGGCACGCGCGACAGAAGTCAAAGTTCCAGTTGGAACGATCGCTACATCCGCATTCCGGCCGCTTCTTTCCAGCTCCGCTTGGTACTCGGTGTTCTCTCCCGGTCCCCCCGAAACTTCCTCTCTCCGGCTCTTTTTCTCGGCGGGCTTCTCAGTCACTGACACTGGCACGCCACGGCAGACGATCGTCCATTCTCTCGCGCCTCGGGAGAACTTTCGCTTTCACGATTACTTCGACGTGCACCACGCCACGCCGCGCCGCGCCGCGAGTTCCCGCGCCTCCGGATCCGCGAATGGATCTATTTCGCCTCTCTTCCGGCTATGATCCTAGATCCAGCCGGCTCTAGGAGGGGAAAACGCGCGCGACCGCCTCACTTTGCACCCCCGTCCGCGCGAAACCTGTCCGACCGATGTATGTAATTCTAGCCGCGTCCCGAAGGTGACGGATCTCCGGCTCGCGATCGGCCGTGTCGATCGCGAGCGGGACCTTTGCGTCGAATTCGAGGCGGCCCCGATCACGAGCGATTCGAAAGCGCACGGTGTGACTCATCGATCGGCTGTGGACTAGTTTTGATTGGATACCATCGATCTGCGAAGGATGATCTGGGTCAGTGGTTCCGTCGGAAAGATCCAGCGACATTGTTCGATCCATTGTTCGAGCTTCGATGGCGTTCGACCATTTTCAGAACTCGATGACTCGACGAGTATGAGTGGAAACGAATTGTTTGAATAGTTGCGAGGTGTAGATACGCGCTGGTTGTATTGTATTCATTATGGGGATATGAAGCTATTTCAATGATCGCTAATTTTCGCGTTAGCATGCACTCGGAAGTTTTTCAAGTATTCGAACATTTTCTGAGGATATTTTGACAGGTATTTTATTTCGATATTTCTCAGATTGATGCATTGTACGGAATTTAATATTAACCCTTTGCACTCGAAAGTTTTTCTAGAAATATTCAACGCTCTTTGATAAAATATGCTTGCTGCGACTAATGTAATTTAATCGATAAATTAAGAGACACAGTAATTTACTTTGATATTTCACGTAACGATGCGTTATACACAGTTTAGTATTAAACATGAAACTTAATAATTTTACTATTATCTTATTACTTTATTATTTATATTATACTATTATATATTTATATATATATAAATCAAGCGGTGAGTCACCTATCGAGGTTAACCCGATCTTTCTATATTTACAACTGAAATTCAATTTCCCGAGGTGCTCGCGCTGATGATTGCTAGAACTCGGAACGCCGTCGCAGGACGCGACAGGATCCGATAAAAAGACTGTTGCTGATAGAGAAAATCACGGGTAAGATAAACGCATCTGCATTTCACCCCGGTCTAAATTATACCCTGCCTCGTTTTGGTCTCGCCGACCTCGTTGCGAAAGGATTTGCATCCTCGAAAGCGGACAGGGAGGATCGAACCAATTTCGCGCCGTTATCGCCGGCGCCGGATCAGAGCCGCAGGAAATTGTTAATAGGCCGAGAGCTGTCTTCCATCTGTCTCGCGCGCGGTCTGTTATTAATCTCGCCGTGCAAAACACAGTCGGACGAGGGAACGGGTTCTCTCCGGCGCGCGTAAATGAATAAATGAAACGTAATTGAGCTGCCCGCGACACGTCGTAACTTTGAGGCTACATGTTTACTCGCTCATCGATATTTCATCGATTTATAGCCGCGTTTCTCGGCGAGCGGCTCTCCTCGTCTTTTTCCTAACCCCGTAATTTATGCGCGGCGTTCGCCGGGTTACGGGGAGTCAGCGCGGCCCCGGCTAATTCACGACCGCGATAAATCGATAGATTTTCGCGAATATATTCGCGTTACGGCGCCGCAAACACGTTAATGATAATATTAAACGCGGAGTAATCGCCTCTATTAAATAATCGCGAAATAATAAGCGCCTAGAATATAAATTGATACACCTCCGCGTCCTGCGGACCATTTAACACCCCATAGTCCGTTCGACTTACAGCCGGCAACGCGTTGATCCGTCTTATTCATTCATTTATTTATTTATGCCACTCGCATGTACATTCTCTTTACCGTGCACCGCTTACCTGTATTATTCACCCTCGCTGCGAAACGGGATTCAATCAGATAACTCGGGAATAACACGCGTTTATCATTCTCATTGAAATTAGAGG